GAATGATTGATTCCTAAGAATCACTTAAAATGACCTGAATCATATAGCGTAAATTGACACATTTACCTCAAATCCACACAAAATATACCACAATTTCATTCGTCTTTCTGCTCACTCTTCGCTGAATATGTCAGTAATAATCTTCCCTATCGTACAGATCCAACCTGTGGTCCAAATGAGGAGTTCGTGACGTGCAGTTCAAAGTGTGAGCCAACTTGTGAATCGCCGCCTAACCAACTCTGCATCTTGGAATGCGGTCCACCGAAGTGTGAATGTCGTCCGGGCTTCGTTCGTCACCAAGGAAGGTGTATTCCTCGTAGCCAATGTCCATCTGCTGGTAGGTTTTGAGCTTTTTGAAAGTAACCGCTATGCTAAAACTTCAAGCTTATTGTACTCTGCTTTTCGTGTACTATATACATCTTCATCAGTCTTCCCGATTTCCACATCCTAAATTGGATGCCTACCGTTACTAACCTCATTAAATGAGCAAGTAATTTCCATTTATTATTATTTAGATCCAAAACCGACGTGTGATCAAAACGAGCGCTTTGTGGAGTGCAGTTCATTGTGTGAACCTACCTGCGAATGGCCCACTGGTCAACCTTGCGTGAAAAAGTGTGGACCACCAAAATGTGAATGTCTTCCGGGATTTGTTCGAGATCAAGGAAAATGTATACCGCCTGATCACTGTCCATCTATTGGTGGGTCCTGACAGTTTCGATATTTTTGCTACAGCTCCTGAGTCCTTCTCAAATGTCTATCGCTTACGATTTCGTATATGTACTTCGCTGTTTTCTTAATTTTCTCTTCGGTCTGGGAATTGCATATTCTGGATCTTGTTCCGGATATCGGATAAAATTTTATCCGGAACTCATTCCGGATAAAATCGGAGACTTTCATTTCAGGTAGTTTACTTTCTTTATGCAAGCTTCATCTGCGTTTCATGTATACACGAAAAGGCATTGGCATTTAATGTGTATAGTCTCGTGTATGAGTTGCATACATTGATAATTTTCGCATATTTCCTTTCACAGTGAGCTGCGCTTGTTTGACTGCTCGTTTTCTACTCATTGAAGCGCTGCTTTATAAAGCGATGTACATTGCACTCACTCAGCGCTGACTTTATAAAGCGAGCATATTGCACTCACTCAGCGCTGACTTTATAAAGCGAGCATATTGCACTCACTCGGCACATCTATTTTGATATAGCATTTCAGAGAGTAGCAGAAATGTGTGTACTATAACAGTCAGTTGAATCTTCTTTGGCTAAATGCAGGGAATAACAAGCCATGCATCCCATTGACAGTAGTTTGCATTCGATAGGTTATTTGAAGAGTTTGCATTCGATAGGTTATTTGACAATCTCTACTATGCGTAAATTAACAAGACCAATTTCAAAATTCAACAGAATAAATTGTTATTTGTTATGAGTTCAAGTTAAAATTTGACTAACAAAAGCCACTAACAATATCAGATAAAAGTTTTGTTGAAATTGACAAGCACAATCAAGCATTTCATTGAGGCTTCAAAGCATTTTCAAACACTCTACTGCATTTTCGTGTTCACTGAATGAATTTTCATTCTTTTCTGAGTTCTATTCATCCATCTCATTCTTTTATCAATTTTTTCACGTTTTCTCATTCTCTGCAAAAAACATTTCGCAATATTCTCATTCCATGCAAACGACGTTCTATGCACAATCTCATTCTATTCCACACTGTGTCTATCATTGAAACTAACAACTTCTGCAGATCACGTACAGAGCAAACGCACTGCAGTGAAACAAATCAATCAGCACATGCATTTCA